TGGGTTGGGACTTGTGGGGAGGGGTGTCTTTTCTGTTTTGGCACTGTGTTTCCGGGGGCCAGATTCTGTGCTGGACTCTCGCTCTGCACATGCTCGTCTGGCACTGATGAGGTATATTTGTGGTAGACTGCTGGGCTGAACCTTGTTTCTGTGCAGTAGCCCATGTTTCCTGTGGCAGCTTTTTGGCATGAGTGAAATTTCACGTTGGGACTTGTGGGGAGGGGTGTCTTTTCTGTTTTGGCACTGTGTTTCCGGGGGCCAGATTCTGTGCTGGACTCTCGCTCTGCACATGCTCGTCTGGCACTGATGAGGTATATTTGTGGTAGACTGCTGGGCTGAACCTTGTTTCTGTGCAGTAGCCCATGTTTCCTGTGGCAGCTTTTTGGCATGAGTGAAATTTCACTGGAGTACAGCAAAACAAAGGGAGGCAGAATAAAAGTGGAAGCGGCATGTTTGGGTTGTTCTGAGCTAGGAATTAAAGTGCTATTTCTGCTCTAATGTAATGAATATAAAAACAACAAGGAGTCTTGTGGCATCTTAAAGACTTAACAGATTGGGGCATAAGCTTTTGTGGATAAAAACCACTTAGATGCATAGAGTGAATCTGACATGGTTTGTTTTTACCCATGAAAGCTTATGCCTAAATAAATGTTAGTCTGTATCTGCAAGAAAAAAGACATACACGTCTAACCCTCTGAGTCTCGTATGTAGCAATTATATCTTAATTTTTTAGCAAGACTAAAAATAATATAACTTGTTTAGTGCTGATAAGGTGCCTGTGTTTGAGTTAAGAAGTAGGATGTAATCTATCCAAAGGGCAAAATTGCCTCCAGAAAGGGAACACAAAACACAAGGGAGTTATTTGTAAATATCTCACATTTCAGATTACAGTGGCGTTTGTCCTAACTTAAACAAGGTAAGAAGTACAGTATGGTCTCCTTTAGGTTTTACATTTTAAATATGGTAATTACACTTTACTTTTCACTCTTAGCCTTTCACCTGTAGGACCAAATAACAATATTTCATGTAAATTAAGTCTTCAGCCTTGTAAGTATGTGAACATTCTGGCTCTTAATATGTAATTGATTGAATTTTTCAAGTCTCTAACTAACATGTAAAACATTTTTAATCTGAAAAATTCATATTCTCTAAATAAGCCTCAAAAAAGATTGCCAATTTTGACACAAGTTGCAGGATGTAACAATTTACCTAGAGAATCCTGGGAAGCACTCACTTTGCAATGCTATAAATTAGACTATTTGGGTATTTTGTAGAAATGCTGATTATCAGAATTTGGTAAAAAATCCTTTCCAAATAAGTCAATGGACAAACTAAACAGGTACGCTGTTATCCTCTAGCATGCACTGGACTGCACTGATAATGTTTCCTCTTAATTTTTTTCATCCATGTGCAGAGTAAATGTTATGTACACCAAGGCATGTGTGCCCACCAGAAGAAACACATGCTCTCAACTGTGGGCGCATTGTTAATCAACGGGGCAGCATTTGAATCTTTCCTGTGTGGCCACCCAAGCGCACAACTTCAGGCTACGTCTAGACTGCAAGCCTCTTTCGAAAAAGAGCATCTAGACTACAGCCAGTCTGGATGCTCTCTTTCGAAAAAGCACAGTTTGCATTACATAGCACCTTTTTTCGAAACAGCACTTTCGAAAAAAGGCGTTATTCCTCATAAAATGTGGCTTTCCGCGGTCGAAAAAACTGCCACATTCTTTCGATTTACTTTCGAAAGAATGTAGCAGCAGTCTAGACGCAGGTAAAGATTTTTCGAAAAACGGCCACTTTTTTTCGAAAAAACCCTGAAGTCTAGACACACCCACAGAGAACACTGATAATTGAAATGCCGTTATTTTGTTCTCATTTGTAGGTTCTCACTATTAGATTCCTCAGTACAACAGGACCACTCTAGCAACCTAAAAAACATGGTTAGTGTGTTGCACTAGTCTAGAATGATTTGTACTTTGTACATTAGTATTATCAAGGATAGCTATTAATTCTGAGAAGTGTATGTACAAAGCAAATGGGTGAAATGTAACAGAAATCTACAATATTCAAAAAGCGATAATTGTGTAAGAGTAAATTGTTTTGAGATATTACATGACTCTTACTTCATAAAGTAAATTGAGTTGTAAAAAGACTTATACTTAGAGATCCATGTAATATCAATCGTGTTTCAGAATACACTGAGCCTGGCAGAAGTTACCTTGGGTCATTCTACATGAAGCACGATAATGACAGATCAAGAATATATCCTGTGCAAATGGAAGAACCGTTTATGGCCAGCAAAGGTGAGAGCATTATGCTTACAATATGAATAGGTATAGTAACGAGGAGAAACGTTGTGCAGGTTTTTCTCCCACCCTCAAGATATACAGAAAAGATCATGTGATCATAAGATATGTGATCAAAACCAAAGCAACTTACTCTATTTGAAACTCGCTGTTTGGCGATCACACCAGAAATGAATTACCTAGGCCAAAAGAATTTGGACTGAGAGCAACAAATCTTCCTTAGAAATTATGATTTCCTAGCAGATTTGGGTATAAAAATCAGAAGGACACTCATAAGATGTATTGTTATTAACCTTGTATTCAACAAGAGAGATTTTAATTTGTTCAAGCATAGTACATCTACTTTGTTTGCTCCTGTCATATCAAGTTTTGCAGGAACTATGTATGTGCCAAAATAAAGACACTAACATGCCACCATAGTGCATGTGATATAAATACAAAATTTTTGTGCACGTTTTCTTTTTAGAGGTTTATTGGGCATAGAAACGGGTTGAGGAAAGGAATACCAGCACTGTTGCATTAGCAAACATATTCTGTGAAATAGTTTTCTTGTATTCACAAGATGCTCCAGACCTATTCACTTCAGATTTCATTCAAAGAGCATGAATCAAAACCAAATGATGATTGGGACAACGAGGAAGAGAAGTTGGCGTCGTGAATATAAAATGCACCTTTTGTGTTGATCTGCTGCAGAAAAGAGCAGACTAAAATAATGTATCAAAATACGCTAAATCAAAGAAAGCGAGTACATTTATCTTAAACTCAGTTAGTTTGACCAATCCAAATCTCTGGACTTTCTATGAGTTAGTTGTGGCAGCACAGTTTTCTCTGTGGCTTAGCTGAAATTTCTTTCCAGGCTGATATAAACACATACTATTTTTATTTGAAAATGGTTCAGTCTCTAGACAGGTTAGAAAGCAAATTGGTTCTGTCTGTTTTCAGTTCAGCAAGTGTGAGAAATAACAAGAATAGAAAAAGGCCTTCAGAGGAAAAATATGAAACTTTATGGCCTTTTGACTCTGTTAAAGCTTATACCCTGCTAGGGGACAGACTTGATTGAATAGAATCTTTTCTACGTCCACCTTCTGTGAAATTAGTTTTCTTAAAATAGCCTCTTACAACATTCGTGGAACGTTTGTTTCCATGGGGTGATATGGCATCTTCTAATCAAACATAATTTTTATAAAGTAGGTCCAAATCTATAAACTTTAGCAAATGCTCCTTAAAAAAACAATTACAATTTGAGACAATGCTATCTGTTTTAAGTAAAAGCTAAGACTGATTTTTGGATGCTACTTTGCAAGGCTTCAGGGACATTAGTGCACAGAAGTGGTGCTGCTCTGTTAAATCAGAGGTGGGGAACCTCAGGCACAAGGGCCAGATGCAGCCTCCAGCTAGCCTGGATCTGGCCCTCCTGGCTCAGAGTTCCCCCCAGATTGGGGATCCCATGCTGGTGCTCCAGTTCTCCTGCTGCCCTACTGTGGGGCTGGAGCACACGTCTGCTAGGCTGGGTGCCCTCGGCTCTGGTGTGCGAGAGGCATGTTGGAGTGTCTTTTCCCTTCTCAGGCGAGAGACACGTCACTGAGTGTTTGGAATTTTTGTTTTGCTTCTAAGTTGGGCGTGGCCCCCAACCCCAAGAAGGTGCCCCACCCCTGTGTTAAATGGCTTGACATGCAAATAATGTTAAAAATTACGTGGAGAGGAGGAATACTTAATGTAAAATGGATTTAATTGCATATTATATCAGCTATAGCTAGGACTAGATTCTTCCTTATATCATAGCTATCTGAGTTTCTCCCCATGCTTTCACTTGGAGTGCATGTTCTATCTATGCCATCTTTACTCATATGAAAAATTGTGTGCATGGCTGTAAAAAATGATGCTTTTCTTCATTTAGGTTTTATCCAAAATCAGAACATCCAGAAAACCAGTTGTTTCTAAAGCAAAAGCAGCCTCTTTCAAAGTTGAAATACTTGGCCTGGAAGAACAGTTAAGTACCCTTGTCATTACAGGCAGTCCCTGGGTTATGTACAAGATAGGGACTGTAGGTTTGTTCTTAAGTTGAATTTGTATGTAAGTCGGAACTGGTACATATTGTAGGGGAAACTCTAGCCAAACATTTCTCCAGAGCTCAGTTTTATTCTCCCACACCTCACTTCCCTCAGTCCTTTATTCTCAAGCTGAGGTGTCTGCTGAGAAAAGCCTCTCCACGTCTCCCTACTCTGCTGGGAGGGGTATCCAAAATCAGAACATCCAGAAAACCAGTTGTTTCTAAAGCAAAAGCAGCCTCTTTCAAAGTTGAAATACTTGGCCTGGAAGAACAGTTAAGTACCCTTGTCATTAATCCTCTTTTATTTAAGAGTGAAAATGTGGCAAATCTATAATCACTGGTTCCTGAAACTGTCTCTAAAACAAGATAATTGATTTTTAAAGTGTCTTGTGGGATAGGTTTTAAGTGCATAAAACCTTATGACTGTTGAAGAATTGTACTAACATGCCATTCTTAATGTGTTCTAGACTTGGTTTTGAAACCTGTTTCATGATCATTTAAAAGTACCAAAGTCTCCTGATATTTCAGAAGGCAAAAGATAAAGTTTCTTATTTTGTTTACTGCAGAATATATATAATCATTGAAATATTTTAGATTGTGGACTTGATGTATTCTACCTTACCAGTCAAGATCTTCATTCTATTACAGTAAAACTCCATTAGTCCGGCATCCAGTGCTCCGGGACTCCTGATGGTCTGGCACCATCAGGAACCCGGAAGTCCTGGGGCAGCCGGACAGGCTTCCCTCATTCTGCTGCTGCTGAAACTGACCAGCAGCTGAATCGGGGAAGCCAGGAGCAGAGCAGCTGGGGTGCTGCCGGGTTGGTCCAGTAGCACCCAGAGCAGCACTGTGGGACCAACTGGCAGCGCCCCAGCTGCTGTACCACAGGCGTCCCGAGCAAAGCCGCCGAGCAAGGG